CTTTCCCAAAATTTCAGCGTTAAAATTTTGCTTACATTCAAATCTTACGTAGGAGGTTTTGCTAATCTTTATAAGTTTATTTTTAGTATATAATGGATTTATTAATGTAAGAAGGCAAAAAATTTAAGGGTTATGTCGCTTAAATTTAAACCTTGCAAAGGGGTCTTTGCTAATCTTTACAAATCTTTTTAATATACAGGGTGGGGCATTTTAATCGCCCCAGGCGGATATCTCGGAAACTAAGAGAGACAAAAAAAAGTTTTATGTAAAAGTTGTAGGGTTTAAAAAGATCTATTTACTGATCTTATCAGTTTAACCTTGGGTAGCGTCGCCAAGGTCAGGACAAGGTCACCTTGAATTTTTAAAATGGAAACCCCTTTTTCATTGCATATTCTTGTAGCTTACCTCGACAGCTTTTTAAAACACTTTTTTATAATGAAATATTTTTTTATTAAGTACTTTTCGATACTTTTTATAAGACTTGAAGGTTACAGTACTTTGACATAAAATACAAAATATCTTGTAAAACATTCAGTTTTCGGTAATCTTACTTTAATACTTTTATGCATAAAATAATAAGACGAATCAATTAGTCTAAAAAAACATAATTGCTTTAAAAAAAAGTATGCAGCTGCATGTTGCAAATTACATAATTTTTTAAAAGCAACTATGTGTTTTCTTTACAAGGTGTCCTGACTTTGGCGACGCCACTCAAGGTGAAACTGATAAAGCCAGTGACTAGACCTTTTTTTTTTTTTTTTTTCGCAAGGAGGGAAAATCTTCGAAAAGACCCCCCGCAGCCCGTACTACGGGGGAGTGCGGGATTCCCTCGCGGCTCTCGTTCTGACTAAAATGTCAGGACACCGCGAGGACCTACCCGCTAAAAACCCTCCTTGTTGATTCTAGCCCTGCTGATAGGGGTTGGGGCGGAAGACCTTGAGGGTATAACATCACCCCAACCCCTCAGCTGTCTCCTTTCGGAGTCGTCCTTTTTTTCGGGGCCATTCTCTGGACTAAGTCCAGTGTGGGTTCTCGTTCTTATGAGAACCCACTTTTCTTACTTAATTTTCCTCTCGTTGGCCATCATGAGAGTGAGCGATAAGGCCCATCTCTGGCCATTGAGGGGGGAATGAATTCACCTCTCCCTTATAGGAGAGGTTTGGATGGCGGGGGTGGGAGGGGAGGAAAATCCTCCTCTCTTATTCTCGCCTCCACTGGTCTTCCTTCTGTTTCCTCCGCAGCAAGGAGGTGAAGAGGGTTCAGAGGACAAATAGTCCTCCATAATCCTCTCCAGCCTCTCGGAGGTACGCCACTCTTGCGTGGGGAAGTGCGAGTATATCCTCGTACTTCCTCTTTTTCTCCTTTTCTTTCCTAGGGCATGGATATCCGACTCCTCCCAACAGGTGGGGAGAACCTCTACGCCTCCAGGCCACACCTTTTGTGTGTCGAGGCTCCTGACTTTTTTCAGGAACCTCAACACCCTCTTGCGGACCTCTCCAGTCCCGACAGAACCACGGAAGACGAACGTATTGTTCGCCTTCTCCTCCTTCTGGCCAACCTATGGGTCCGGCCTGTGCTGTTCGTTGGGAAACAGCTCCCTCAAAAACCCTGCACACACCTGCAGCACCTCGTAGGAGTTCTCGGGGAGGCAGCACACCTCCACATCGTGCTCCTGTAGTCCCCTGGAAATCCCGGGCCTTCCCCCTGTCATCCAAGGATGACGAGGGTTTGTAGAGGGAAGAGGTCCCCTTTCCTCTTTTTTCTCTCCTTTATTGTAGGGGAGAGAGGGTCCCGCGTCTTTTTTACGGGGGTAACCTCCACTCCCCTTTTTCTCAACTCAGCCACCTTGGACTGAGGGGGCCTTGTGCTCCCCGCCCTCGGTAGTATAGGGGGAGAAGGCGGAGGATGGGTAAGTCTCCCGTCCAACTCCCCGCTCCCTTCAAGAGTGGGGGCCGGAGGCGGGCCCCGAATAGCACCTTCCCCCCTCTTATCCCCCCCATCCTTTTTAAGAGGGGGCAAAAGCTCCCTTTTTTCCTCAATTCTTATTGAGTTGAGAGGGGCAGTCCCCCCCTCCTCTTCCATCATAGAAGGTGACAAGGGGAGGTCAACCCCTCTCTCCTCTATCTCCATCACCTTTAGTGGTGATGAGGGGGGAGGATTCTTCCTCCCCCTTTCTTTTTCTATCTCCTTTACCGGAGATAGTGAGGAGGATATAATTCCCCCCTCCTCCGTTCTCTCAGGAGTAGGGTCGAGGGGAGGGTTTGTCCCCCCCTTTTCCTTCCTCTTCCTCTTTCTGCGTCTCCCCCTCGGGGGGACGACCGGGCACACTCGG